CCAGCAGCATCGCGGCGGCCGCCGAGGCGCGCGCCGGCCCGTCCCGACAACCCCGCCGCCGCAAAGCAGCCGTCGCGAAAGGGCGCGCGGCGCCGGTCCCGGCGCATGCGCGGCCACGCCCCGGCGCCGGCCGGCACGTCCGGCTCCCGTGCGGGCCGCGCGCGCCATGTGCGGGGCAAGAAGGCGCCCGCAACTCCCGTCCTCTCGGACGCCCGTGCTGCGCCAGGGGCTGCTGGGAACTGTAGGCCCCGTTTCTCTCTCGGCAGGCCCAGGGTCGCACCCTAAACCTTTCTGGTTCGTGGACCGAGTGCAGTCGCCAGGGCCTGTAGCCCTTCGGTGCTATGGCCAGGGCTGGCCACCACCTCTATGAGCCCATTTTTTAAAGCAAAGAGCAACCATAACACCAAAAAGCCAGAGCAAGAACAGAACAGTCTGGCACAAAACACACTGAATTCGATTTTGTCTCATTAGAGCGTCAGTGCCATCCCTGCCTCCCCACATAAAGTGGGCACCCTCTAGATCAGAACAGATTAATTCAGGTTTTAATTATTCAAGACACCCCTGGCCAGGACTATCTGCACTGCACCCTCTTTCTTACCCTCTCTAAGCTCCACTTGACACCAGGCTCAGCAGGTGCTTAAATTGCTGTCTCCTTAAGAAATACAACATTACAATAAAGACAATCGCAGGGAGGGAGGGAGGGAGGAGAGAATTGCCTCTTTATTTAGGAAAACAGCGATCTGGAAACAAAGACCCTGGTGGCAAAAATGCTTGGGAAATGTTGACGGGGCACATGCGTTCCACAGAGTTCATGGAGGAGCCGATCACTTTCCTTGAGGTATCTTCTGCCCACAACCTCAAATACCCGCTTTTGGTCTCGAGATCCCGAGGACGCCAGTCCCCGGGAGTTTCCGCACCCCAATACGGCTCGGGGCTCGTGCCCTGGACGAGGGGGCCCCCGTTCTTGGCCCCGGCTCTTGGCAGATGGTCAGTCAGACTTCTCCTTCTCTTTCATGTGCAGGAAGACGACGCTGAACAGGAAGAGGCCGACCATCATGGAGAAGGCGCTGGCATAGTAGGGGTACGCCGAGGGAATGAAGCGCTCGTACTGCGTGTGCTGCAGGGGACGCACGGACACCTGGCGAAGAGCGGAAGTAAGTGCCACAGGACACACCGCAGGACAAAGAAGACCCGAAGCCCCACCGCCACCAAGCCATCGTCCACCGCAGCGGCACGAGCGAGGCCCGCACAGAAGCGACGCGCACGGGCACCTGCAGCTTCACTGCCGGCTGCAATGAGGGGCGGCCCGCAGTGGGGCAGACGCGCCACCTGCCTGCCCGCAGCCCTTGGCCGCCTGGTCCCTGAACACAGAGCTGCTGCCACGTGCCTGCGTAGAGGAGTACAGGTGGGTGTAGCCCAGCCGGTTGTAATCCACTTTGAACTGGAACACGCCGTAGACGTCTGGCAGCTTGAACTGGACACTGTACTTCCCTCCTAGGAGCCAAACACAGTCCAGGTCTCACAGCCGCAGATGGGCCACACACGCCACAGAGCGGAGCCTGCCAGCGGAGCCTTTTCCTGCACGCACTTCTACGGACGGCTGAGAACTGCAACTCAGCGCAGACAAAGCTTCTGCAGGTCTCAACGCCCAGCTTGTTCATATTCGTAGCCCACTTTTCCCCAAGAACTCAGAGCAGCTTACATAATGGTTCTTCTGCTGCCAATCCTATCCCCCAAACAACAACCCTGTGAGGTAGGCTGGGCTGAGAGTCTGTGACTGGCCCAGGGTCACCCAGCTGGCTCCACGGCTGAGCGGGAACTCCAACCCCGATAGCCTGAGCCCACACTCACAGCTGAGCCCACTCTCACCACACGGGTCTTTTCTAGGGGAATTAATACAGTCAAGCGATACAGATATGATTACAACATTTTAACGCAGCAAGTAACTTACAAACCATTTCCCCAGGCTGCGAGATAACATGGTATAGAAGGGAAACCCAACTCACCATTCCGCTTGAGAAAAGTCCTCACAAATGGGTCAATGCGGACAAACTCGAGCTGGATATCATCTCCATCAAAGGGGACCCACTTCCCATCCGAGAGCTTTTCAATTACAACGCTGTACTCCTGCAACACAGAGACCCTGCTCAGACACCCAGAGGCAGGCTCACGGGAAACCAAACCCTGCGAGCGGAAGCCATGCAGAGCTCTCACCACTAGGTCGGTGACGGTGTACGCGCTCGGCGGTGCCGTCTCCCCTACGCGATGGTGAGACACCTCGCCCACACGCAGAACGCCTTCCTCCTTGAACACCCAGCGGGACAAGGCCAGCGCCAGCTCGTAATTCCCCGTTTTGGGGTACCTGAATTGCAGGAGAAGCAGCGAGAATCAGAAACCTGCAAAAGAAACGCTGGCTCTGTGCCGCAATGCATCCCTTCTCTGGAGCGGACGGAGGAGCCATCCCCGGTATGGGAAAAAGCGTTTTGTTGGCTCAGCCGACTCCACAGAACCCGAGACACCCCTCCGGGCTGCACTTCAGTGCCTTTGCACAAGCGATCCAGCATCCAATCGCCACGTACTTCTTGGAGCCAGGGGTTGCTTTCTGCACAGCCGAGTTGAAGAAGGCGTCGCTGAAGAAATCCAGGGAGCCGCTGAAGACGACACGGGCGTTATTGCGGGCCTGCAGGCCTGCGATCAGGAGCGTGTTCTTTCCAACAGCGTGAGGGTACTATGGGGACACACAGACCTCGTTACGAGCAGCCATCATGGGGGGTCTTTGTATTTTTAACATTCTTGATAAAGTATTTGTTAAAAGCAAAGAACTTTTGAACCAAGTTGCATACTTGCCTTCCCCTCTGACCCCCCTTCCTCACCCTCTCCTCCAACATGTAAGATGGACCCATACCACCTCCTGCCCCAAATCACTGTGAAGGGCGAAAAGCAGAACTAGAAAGCACGCCTTAGCCCCTGGGTCCCTGAGACAGCGTGGAAACAGCGGTTCAGTCCACCTGGTGGGTAGCAGGCTGGGGAAGGCTGCTGGAGGGGCCTAATTCAGCTTCTTGGGCAACCCAAATGCAACACTCATTGTGCTGGATCCAGAGGCGCAGTGGCAGCGGCCTCTGACCAAGCTCTTCCTTGTGGCAGAGCAAATGGCGAGGCTCCTCCACCTACCTGTGTGATGGGTTTATCAGGAAAGAAGGAGTAAGACGTAGAGGAGCCCGTCAAGATATCCAGGACGAGAGGATTGTCAGGGTCAGCCACCATCCTACAGGGAAAAGCCAGCATGACCAAAAGTGGCCAGGAGCTCTCCCTCCACCTACAGATGGGGAGGGGCCTCCCAAGACACCCACAGGCCCCTTGCAGCTCGTGCGTGTGTGGCTGGCTGCAGCGGGGCTGGGAATTTAATGGGATCCTGGTAAGAGCATTCGATGCAAAACAGCGCGTCCGCTGTACCAGAGGACCTGGTTTTCGCTGCGCATCCCCTTAGGACTACAATGGCTTGCATCCGAGGCAGCCCGGGCACAGCAGGGTGGGCACAGCAAGCCCAAGCCCCCGGCATCCGTCCCCACGTCGCTGCACTCACCCGACCCCCCTGAAGAGTATGGGGTTCAGCGGCTTCTTCCCCACAATGGTGGGCGCCTTCAGGAGATTCTCAGACTCCGCCACGATGAGCGTGTGCTGCAAGAGGCAGTAAGAGGCCACTGCGAAACTGCTGCGGGCGGCAGCCCCAGGGCCACTTGGCCTGCTTCTGGTTGCTGCCGCAGCTTTCGAGGAGCAGCAGTCCGCCTGCCCGGCCTTGAGGAGGAGGGCGGCCGACGCACTCCAGCCCCGCCCTTTCCGCAGCTGGGCACCGGCAACTACAAGGCACAGGCGGGGGGCAGCTGTCAGCCCCAGGGCGGCCACACAGCCCGCTCACCTGGCCCAGGTCCGAGGCATCATAGTTGTGGTGGTCAAGGACGGCTGTCTTCTCTTCGTCAAACTCGATTCCGCATTCGCTACCCAGCTCTCGGATCGGGTCACCTGGGAAGGGCAAAGGCAGTGCCTTTTCGCTTGTACAGAAAAGGGGAGCCACAGGGGGTCAGAGCCAATGTGACCGGGAGTCTAATTCGGGCTTTACCGTCCACAAGATTTCACACCATACATCGCCTGCTCTACAAGATCACCCGCTCCCAGCAGAGGCAGGGAAAATGGGCACGCACAACCCCATTTTGGGATGGCACCAAGTCTGCCTTACTGACCTATATCTGAGCTGGCCGCCACCAGGACGCTTCCCCCTCCATCGATGAAAGCAGCAATCGTCTCGACATTGATGTTGCCTCCAAAATCTGAAAGGAAGCACCCAGGCTGCTCAAGCACAACAACGCAAAGGCACACAGGAGTGTCTCAGAGCAGCACTGGGATCGCCTCTACCCACAAGGTGAGCGGCTTTGACCTCAGTGTGGCAATTCACAGGCTGTTCACTTTCCGTGAAGAAAAAGTCCACCACTGCCATTGCACTAACGCACAAACTCACCTCACCTAGTTACAAGGGGGGAATTGTCAGTGCTGGTAAAAAGGTGACAGAAACAATGGCACGGCCCCAAGTTTGTCTTTCATTTCACTCATGCATTCAGTTTCCACACTGCCCAATAGCCAAAGTTCTCTAGGCAGTTTACAGAAATTAAAGTGAATAAAAGTGCAATACTGAAGATAATACAGCAAGTTCACATGCACACGTATAATAAGCAAACAGCACACCTCCACACGCATGAATCGATCTCTCTAAGCAATCTTAGCCATCAACAATAAGTCATCTGAGAACCACACAAGACGTCCTGCCGTAAAAACTTAACTATACAAGAAGGTCTCTTGGGGGATGGCATTCCAAAATTGTGGGTGGCGCAATCAAGCCTGTTGAAACATTCCAAACCCCTTTCAGGTGGGAGGGAACCTAGTAAATGGATGGGGTCATGCTACGAGAAGAATTCTGCCGGGTATTGTCATCTCAGGCTGCGTGTGGCTTCAGAGATATTAAAACAAAAAATAGGCACAGTGTATCAGGCTCCAAAATTACAAGCAAGCAGTGCCAGTGAGCTAGAATCAACGGCCTGTGTTCAGACCTTTCAGTCCCCATTACCAGTCTAGCTGCCACATTTTACATGAGATTGTTTCTGAACTATCTTCAAAGGCAACATCATGCAGAGTGGAAGACAGCAATATAAACTGAAGGCTACCCTAGCACACCTGATATTTAGAGCACTTTCCGCAAAATGGACTAGATATACACAGAAACAAATAGGAAGTCAAGCTCTGAAATACTATTACAGTGCACAAATACTAAGTTTTAGCTGTTCAAGGCTGTGAGCATACATATATTTAAGGTGAGTAAATTATTTACACTGCTGATTCTTCTACATCCATTTAGGCAAAACTCATACCTTCTACAGATGGAGAAAATATGATGAGATTATCGTACAGGAACTCTCCATATTTAATGAGAGACAGTCCTGGGTCATCAGCAGTCCTGAAGGTTAGATCAAAGCCCCGGTCTAGAGAGAGAAATGCAAAAGAGAGCACACTATTATGTCAGCAGCATATCATGAAAATGAAAAAGGCATTCCCAGCCAGCACTTGGCCACGACTTCCCGATGGAAGCCCAGCAAGCAAGTTGGCCATGCTGACTGAGGGATGATGGGAGACGCATTCCCAACACCTCTATGGGCACGCTGGGGGGAGGAGGGGGCACGCAGCTTCAGCCTATCTGGAGACTGGCTGGGCCGAGGACAGCGCCTGCAGTCCACCGCCTTCCGTGTTCTGACTGTGCAGATAACGGGATCTGCACTCGCACCGTCTCCGCGCGCAGGCTGGGGCGCGGCGGTAGGCCATGGGCAGCCGAGGAACGACGGGGCGTGCAGTCCAGCCAGCGCCCTCTGCGTGCGAGTCGTGCTGGTGATAGCGGCGGGGAGGCGCCCGATGGGGGCTGCTCGCCCGCCCGCCCGCGGGGCCTTCTACGGGCAGAGGCCTCTCCCCCCCCCCCCCCGCCGCCGCCGCCGCCGCCGCCGCCGCCGCCGCGCGGACCTGCCAGGCTGCGCATGAAGAGCGAGTGCGTGTCCTTCAGGTTCATATTCTCCAGCAGCACCAGCGTGCGGGACCCACCGCCGCCAGCGGCTGCGGCGTGGGCCCAGGGGAGCAGGGCCGCCGCCAGCACGGCCACGGCTGCCGCCACCATCCCTCCGGGGCGCCGCCACCGCCGCAGCCGGAGCCCACCGCACGCCGCCGCCATCTTCCTTCTCTCCGCGCAGGGCAACCCGGAAGCGGATGCCCGTCGCCGCCAATCAGTGGTTGAGGCCGCCCCCGAGGAGGCGGTGCCCAAGAAGCCTCCCGGCCAATCACGAACAACGGTGGCGGCAAGCTCGTGCGCGCGGAGGGCCAATCGAAGACAAACAACTCCCAGCCTCGCTCCGCCAGCACCCAATCACCGCTCCCCTTCTGCTCCCGGGCAGCCAATCGGGACACGCGCAGCCTAGATACGCGCGACGGATCCCGAGCGGGCCCGCTGTTGCTATGGGAACGGAGGCGCGCAGGCCTTCAGGACCCCCCCCCCCAAAACACGAGAAACGAGGGTTGGTTTGCAATCCAAATATATTTGCGCAACATCTACATGGAAACATACTCGAAATATAACGACGGCGCCCCACCGACAATAAATTACACTGGGACCAGCATGCTCACGTGTCATACGGACCCCGTGGGGATTTGGCGTTTCCCTTTCAAGGGCACGTTCTCTTAACGTGCCCTTGTCGTCCCTTGCCAGCTCGGGCACCATGTTTCAGTTTTATTCTTTTTGGCAGAAGGACATTCAGCCAGGCACTGTCTTGCAACAAAACCCGGACAGCAGCAGGCACACAAGAGAGGAGGCGCTGCAGCTCTTACCCGCCCGGGGCAGGGAAGAGGCATAGACAGGACGTGTCCTCTCGCGGGCTCGGAAGCATCTTACAGAAGGCGCAAAGGGCAGCAACAGCGGGGAAAGCGATGTTTGGACCAGGCCTTGCACGTTGTGACCGTCAGCAAAAGCCATCCTTTGCGGAGGCAGCGGGAGCCCAGAGAGGGGCTGGCGGAGCAATCCGAGACATGCTACTCGGAGGTGTAGCCAGGGTGGCCCTCAGCTGCTGTGGCCTACAGCCCTCGCCGGCACTAGCCAGACGCTGGCTCTCGGCCTGACCTAGCTCGCAGGGCTGTTGTAAGGGTAAAATGGAGAGGAGGCAGGCCTTTGTAGCCACTGTGGGTTCCCGGCAGAAGGAAGAAAGGTCGAATATAAACTTAAAAACAGCCAGCAGAGATAAGGGGCACTACGGCCGGATCATCCAGCAGGGGACTACAGGCTGCCTCTACCCGCCATTTGGGACTGCAGTCAATGGAAGAGCGTCACACGCACTGTCTCCCTGGAGTACCAAGGTGACGGAAAAGCTTGGCCACACCCCTTTGGCTAGAGAAATCGGGACACGCTTGCTGTCGACGGCCCTGCGCTAATGGCACAGCCTGGGCCTGTACCAGAGAGGCTGCTTCACGCAAATGAGCGGACCAGCTGAGGGGCGAAAGCACGATGCAGCAGGCAACACCACGGAAAGCCGGGACATCAGCGGGGGTGGTGGGTGGACGCGGCCCCAGAGTTCTTTGTCGAGCGTCAGCCCAGCTGTGGCAGGACCATCAGAGACCGGCTGCTGCTGCCCAGCCACGAGGCCTGCCGGCGGCTCCGCTCCTCCCGCCAGCCATCCTCCGCCACACAGTCGTGCTCCTCGTAGCAGTGGTTGATCCGGCCTGTGGCCAGGGGGCAGAAGAGGCCGCCCTGCATCCCCGAGTAATGGTCCAGCAGGGCTTCCATGCTGGGGAACTCCACATTCAAATGCTCCACGGGTGGGGAAAGAAACCAGAAGTTATGAGGGACCAACCCTGCAGCCGGCAAGCACAGTACATGGCTGGCGTTCGAAGCCCCTGCGCCACGTGTTCTAATGACCACAGGAGCCATCAGCCACGGGAGGTGGAAGACATTAGTGCATGAGATACCATGAGGCGAGGAGAGACAAGGCGAGGCAAAGCTTTATTTCTCGAGGAAGAATTTGCTATCTGTACCTAAAGCGGCCTAGATGTGTTGGACTCCCACTCCCATCTTCCTCAGCACAGGAATTTTAATCCAGCAGAGCTGGAGGGTGCCTGGATACTGAAGGTTGGCCTGGAGGGAGGGTGGACTGGTGGGCCCAGAAGAGGGGTGGGCAGTGTACAGCCCTCCGGAGGTTTCAGCCTGCCGCTCCGATTGGCACACCGGCTGAAACTTGACCCCATTCCTGCAACTTGAGCCTGTTATTCTGTGTCCTGTACTCTGGGTCATTGAGAAGAGATTCTGGCCTTCCTCTGACAGTCCTTCAAGTACTTCTTGAGGCTGAACATACCTGGTTCTCTCAATCTTCCCTCATTGGCTTTGCCTCCAGTCCCTGAATCATCCTTCTTGCCGTCCTCTGAAACCTTCCCAGCATGTCTGCATCTTTCTTAAACCCTGGTGCCCAGAATGGGATGCAGGACTCCAGATGAGGCCTAGCCAGTGCTGAGTAAATGGGAGCTAGTACTTCATGGGAGCTGGAAAGATTGTGGGAGCACACCTGGGGAGCCAGAAGCAGCCCGACCTGGCCACACAGCTGAAAGGTCAGGGCGCTGGGGAAGGGGGAGGGGGCCACCTTCCACCCCAATGGGAAAACAAGCAAGCGCTCGAGACTTGATCTGAAACTCTGCATGGTTCAAATTCAGCTAATGCCTCGATCCTGTTTTCCAGCAGTCCCATCCGAACGGCAGGAGTCGAAACAGGGCAACCATGCCTGCAGTACCCAAGGCATCAGCCCACAACGGCCAGGAGGGCGAAGAGCGACCCCGAACCCCTGCTCAGGTCTCACCTCAATGGAGTACTTCCCGAGCTGACTCCTGTAAATCTGGTAAGGGATCACTCCGCACCGCGTCCTCACCGTAAGGCACCACTGGTTGGAGGAGCCCGGCTCGGGCCACAGCAGGAAGGACCCAAACACGTCACGCCTGAGCAGTGCCAAGCCAGCGTCCCTGGGGGAGCACGGGGGGGGGGGCTTAGGGGAGGGGGGCAGGAGCCTCCCCTCCTGAAGAACAAGCAACACTCGCGCCCCAGGCCTTCCCCGCCGGGGAGCCCCAGGCTGCAACCTTCCGGGGGTTGAGCTCCGTGCAGAAAGAGGGCGATTCGCCCAGGCCTCCCCACCAGAGAACCAAAGGGATCCTCCTCGAGAAGCCAGACAAAGGCTGGGCAAAAAGGAGGCACTTATACTGAAACGTGTACTTCCACGGCTGTTTCTTCTCCCAAAAAACTTAAGAAACTGACTTCTGAAGAGCATTATAAACATTTTTCCTGGGGAAGGGCTGCCACGGGTTCAAAAAGCACTGGAATTGCCTCCATTCCTTGTCCGGCCTTCCCTTCGATGTGGGCCTCTGGGCAGAGCCTGACAAGACACACGGCGGCCTCAGAGCTCTGCGACAGGCCGGGACGTGGAGGCCCCGCTCACCTGCTGAGGCCCGCGAAGGACCAGCTGCTCTCCAGGAGGCTGCTCTCGCTTTCCGGCAAGTGCCCCGTGCTGGCTCTGCTGTCGCAGCTGCTGTGAGCTGGGGCCCGGGAGGGAAGAGGAGCAAGGCGAGTTACGTGGCGCAGCACAGAGGAGGCCATCTTCCCAGGAGGACTCCGGAGACACGAAGGGCAGGAGCTCAAAGCCAGCCTGGAGTGAGGCACGGCTTTTCGCATCAGCCTCCCCGCCCCCACCCCGGCCCACCCCCTCCCGGCCGGCCAGCCCCTGCTGCCTCCCCAGAGCACCCACCCATCTCCCGGGCGCATTGCTGCAACTGTGCCTCAAAGGTGCAGCCCCGATACGCTCCGGAGCGCAGGATCTTGCTGCGGATGGCCTTCTTGCGCACCAGGATCGGGGAGCAGTACGGGTTCCCAGGGCGCGAGCTGCCCGCGGGGCTCCTCTCCTCCAGGTCCAGCCTCTCGCTCTGGGGTACAGTGCGGAAGAGACAGGATCAGCCTCCCCCAGGAGCACAACGCTTCGAAGCACCAGAGGAGAACGAAAGAACAGCCCTTCTGGGTCAGACCTGCACCCACCCAGCCCGGCGCTCTGGGCACGCGGTGGCAAACCAGCTGCCCACCGGGCCTGCCAGCAGGGTGGGTGCAAGGCCTCCTCCCGCCCTAGCTCCGCGGCAACGGATGTGTGCAGGCAGGCCACCTCTGGCGAGGAGGTAGCCCACGGCCAGCAAGGCTAGCAGATGTGTTCCCTGGAGAACCCACGCGGGGGGGGACGGAGCAGTGCCGCGAAAAGGATCGGCCTCGCAAGAGCGGAAGGGGAGTGGCTTGCATGCTGGACTGGACCCACAGCTGTCTGCCCACCTGTTGACTGGGGGCAGGGAGGGCGTCTCCCCCGGCATTCCCCTGAAGGGCTGCCCCATAAATCAGCCGGAGGAGGAGCATCCGTGAAGAGCGCCCTTGGCCCTCTCCCTGCTCCTGGGGTCTACGGACTGCTGTGCCCCTCAGCCAGAGGCCTCACCCCACTGCCTCCCAGGATGAACATCCGCCAGCCAGAGAAGGGAGACCGCTGAGAACCTGGCAGAAGGAATGCCAAGGAGAGCTGGAAGCTAAGTTGGCACCGTAGCAGGTGCGGCTTCTGCTGCCAGGCGCCACTTGGCTCCTTTGCCCACCTGATCCCTGGGGACACCCTCAGAGACGGGCCGCTTACCACACTGACAGAGCTGCCAAAGTCGCCCGGACAGGGGAGCCTCCGGAAGGAGACCAGCGCATTGACGTTCTGGGAAACCTCCTCGGGACTGAGGGACTCCCACACCACCCGGCTGTCCAGAGAGACTCCCAGGGGTCTTCCAGGCTCTGGTGGAGCAGGGCCACTGGTGGGCCAGTCCTGTTCCTCGGGGTGCATCAGGAGGTACCTGAGCTGGAAGGCGCGGCAGAGCAGCAAGTGCAGAGTCTGGACCTGGAGGGGGGAAACACCGGAGGCGTGACCTGGTGCCCAAGGTGGGAATTGCTCCCCCCCCCACAAGTCCCGCCCCTTTCGCGTGCCGTCTTTCAGATTGTATGCCTGAAGGCAGAGGCGCTTTTTTTGGTTGCACGGCAGGGGAACAATGCTGCAAGCAAGAAGAAATAAACTGAGAAAATAATCCACCTGGCCACGTGTGGAAGCTGGCGTGCGAAGAGCCAGGAGGCGGGGACGCACCCCACCCGTGCTGCGACCCACTGCCCCACCCCCGTGGGGCTACCTCGCTCGGCTGGCTGCCGACAAACAAGTGGCAGAAGAGCTGGCTAGGTGGGCTGTGCGGATTGCGGGCCACAAAGGCGAACTGGCAGTCGGCCGGGGTCCAGGTGCTGTAGAGGATGCGCTTGAGGGCATGGGCCATGAGCAGCACCTGTGGCCAAGAAGCGAGGGCCAGCATGGGCGGCGTCTCCCGTCCCCACAGCCACCCCACCGGAGCAGGCGGGCCACGCGGGCGCTGCCGCCCCCTTCTGTCCGCACAACAGCCCCTGAGGTTGGCCAGGCAGAGGGTGAGCGAGATTGCCCCCCCCCCCCGGGGCCGTTTCTGGCAAGTCCTTCTCCCACAGTGCGGCCTCCATCCTCCCATCTCCTACCTCCCCCTCCAGGCTGCACATCTTCAGGCCCTGCAGGCAGAACTTGAGGACGACGGATCGCCGCCGAGGGCAGTCCTGGGAGGCCGGTGACGGTGGCAGGGAAAGGCAGAGAGAGAGAGAGGGAGAGAGGGGAGAGCCCAGCGAGCCAGCGCTATCCCGCGGGCAGGATCACCGGCAAGAGACGCGGTGGGAAGTGCGGAGAGCCCACCCCAGCCGAGCGAGAGCGAGACCAGCACCCCGCTGTTCCCCCAAGGGCCGCCAGCCAGGCGGGGGTGCCCAGCGGCCTCCCCCTACGCCCAGAGCGCTTCTGAGATCAGGCAGCACAGAAATGTCACAAGCAAAGTGGAGCAGGGAAATTCGGCAGCTCTGCAGAATGCGTATCCCTGGAGCCAGAGATCCGCTTGAGGGGAGCTGAAGTTGGGCGGCGGGAGCGCCTCTGTGCACGCGCAAAGGGCCCACGTGATCCCCGCCATCCCTGCCCTCACCTTCAGGAGCTGCAGGGACTGATGGATCGCCTGGACCTTCTGCTGCAGCTCCGCATCTTCCACCACGAAGGAGCCCACGTACTGTTGGCAGGGGAGGAGAGCAGAGGGCGCCCAGCCCGGGGTTGCCGGGACCGTGCGACGCGCCCGGCCGCCCTCGCTCTGCGCGCGTCTCCCCGGAGCGGACGGAGCCACGGGCCCCCGGGGGGTCGGCCCCCCGCTCCCACCAGCCAGCCACGGCCCCGCGTTACCTCGGCCAGCCGGGCGATGACCCGTCCGCCTCGCTGGGGCGCTGGGGCCGCATCCGGCCCCCTCCCGTTCCCAGACGCCTGCTTCTTCATGGTGCCCGTCGCAGCCTTTGCTGCGGCGCGTGGGGAAAGCGGGGAAGAGAAACGGGCGAGGACGCTGAGGACGCCTCCCTGCCGGGGCCCCCAGTCACACCTGCCCTCGGCCTCGGCCACGGCGGCGGGAGCGAGCATCCTTCCCCGGCGCTCGGGGCTGCCACCGCCAGCACTCCCGGAGCCGCCGGGGGGGCGGGCACCGCCGCCCAGGCCTCCGGAGGGCGCCGGGCTGGGGAAGCGCCGGCAACGCCTCCCCGCCCGCCCCCCAGCTCGGCCTGGCTGCTTCGAGCGGGCCCGCCCGGCGCCCCGGCTGCCGTGGGGTCGCCTCCCGCCGCGGGGGCGGCGCATCCCGAGGCCCCCCCCGCCCCGGCGGCCGCGCTCACCTGGCGG